TAGTTTGCCATTTCTCTTACAAATCGTCTATTCTGTATGTCAAGGACGAGTCATTCTGACCCTGGCTACTGTCATGCTCTGTGTATTCATCCGAGGCTAAATTACTTTGTATGTGACATGTCAGGTTAAACAGGACATGACTGTACTCACCCATAGGTAGATGACTATAGAGAGGTTGACAGTGGAATATTAAAGCTACAACGTTATGATCTTTTAAGGCAGAACAAGTCGGGAGGGTTTTGAGGGATTGTTAACAAGGACGCATTGATGAAGTTTCATTGTATTGTTGTAGTTTGTCAAAGTGGAGCTATTGATACTCAGCTTGTCAAATACCGACGCTTGGTCAGTGGCCCTCAGCTTCAAACCATGACGCTCTAAGGAACCCCTTAAGGGTCAGTTTTGGCGACGGGTTTCCATTGGAGTTAGTTGAAAGAGATGGCAATGACCGTTCATACACTGTTCGGTAGTTGTTTATCTACAACAAAGCATCGTTATGATATTTTAAAAAGTATCATATGCTTTGTGTGTAAAATCACAATCTCTGATGTAACTAAAGCTGTTTAAAAAAGTACAATATTTCCCTGTGAAATGAAGTGGAGACACTCAAGCAAAGTATCTTGCTTACTGTATATTTGTGTACAAGTACTTGCATTACACTGGAAGTCAGATCCTCGGAGCAAAAGCAGAAATACCCCAATATTGTATATATGTATTGTCAGCAAAACATACTTTGTTATCAAAAGTGCTAATTAGGCAGAATAGCCCCTAGCATTAACATAAGCATGTTTTTTAATATTGTTTCTGGATTTTGTAGAGATCATTTTACAAACTTTAGAGCAGGACTGGATTAGTAAATCAGCTCCTCGGCCACAGACAGCCAAGGGGCCCCAAAAGCCCTGAGTTCACTGTGTGGTAATTGGTTTGTGGCATTTTTATTTAATGTACAATTCTTTAGGAATTTGGGAATATGCATTACTAAATCAAATTACCAACTGGCATGATAAGTGCTTTCACACAGGTCCTGATTGTATCACCTGATACTGAAACCCTACTTGACCCTCATCATTATTTCAGATGATGTTGTGCTTACATGGTGCTTACCCCTAATTAGTTTTTCATCAAAGCTCCACACAACAAACCTCGGGCAAAATGATTCTCCAGGAATACTGCACATGTTGCACAAAGAGGAGAAGAATGGGGGATTAACAGGTGGCTCATTTTTCACCCTGGGGCCCCTGTGCAATGTTGTTAGGTAGTTTAATGTAAAACAGTAAATCATCTTTGTACATTGATCACATGTTTTGTATTTCAATCTTAATCTGTGAATGTGCAAGTGCCGACAAATCACCCTAATGTCATTCAATTGTATTTGAGTAGATGTACTAATTTACTAAACTGTTGACTTTTTTAAAAATGTGCACGATGCAGTTGTGTCTCGCAATGTTCAAAGGGGAAATTGACACCAGTCACGATATCGCATGTTTTATTTGACAGGATGGAGAAGTTTGAGCCTGAGGAAGTAAGAGCGAGCGGAGACAGCTGCATCCCTTAAAACTGTGGGAAAGGCTGCGAGTGCTAAGGGAGCTAAAGATAGGCGTTGTTTAAAGGAGACCATCATCATTAGGTAATTCTCTTAGCAGGAGGGTTAAAGAGAAAACACACACACACACAGAGAAGTTTAATTTGTACAAGCTTAACTTTTCCTGGCTCTAACGGGGCAAACACATTACTTCCAAACAGTAGTTTTTATGGGGGATTCATGGACCAGATTCATGCTTCAAACTACAAGAACAAGTGTTCTCCACTTGAATAAGATGGTAATTGGCATTAAGCTGTTCTCAAATAGTTTGCTTAGGTTTTATTTTGGGAGTATTTGAAGTGGGACCTGTAGAAGCACAGCAGCCTTTTTCTGGCACAAACGAAAGACTCTTTCATCAAACAAACGTATCATTTGAAATACAGTAAACCCACATCAGAAGCTCACACACTGGCCTCCGAGACAAATTATTTATTTAACTTGGTTCTGCTTCATGTCATGCCTTTTTAGTGCGAAACATCAAAAGAGCAGCTAAACAGAATAGCGCTGAGCGTATAAATAACTCAAACCGTGACCTGATTTTGTAGCTGCTTATGAACACAAATGTTTAAAAATTATCAAGATTGGCAAATCAGTCCAGTGAGGCTGCAGCTGTACCCGACAACCCCGGGTCAAATATCAAGAGCCAAACGAGGAGCTGGTACTGTAAATGAAATTCCTCTCCCAGTGCAGACCTGCTGGAGAGTGATAAACTACAGGCACACACACACACACACACACACACACACATACACACAGCCTACCGGGGTTGTCAAGGAGCTACCGTTCCTCTCTTCAGACCACCACAGGCAAATCTGAGTCTGCCTAGATCCCACTCGGTTCCCAGCAGATAGCGTGGAGCGAGATGCAGCTCACCGCCCTGTAGCCATGCAACAGAGTGCTAACATGCAGTGGAGCGAATGCTCAATTTAGGGGGAAGAGGATGAAAGAGGGAAATTCGGTGCTGGAACTTAGGGCTGGTAGTAGATTGAGAGGGGGGATTTTTATTTTTATTTTTTATTGATGCCCTGGGTGAATTTGTATGCACACAAGCAATAACCACCAAAGAGTAGCCTATAACAGCTCCAGTGAGGCTTACCAACAAACCTAAATCCACAGCCGGAGCGCGGTAATGACTTGTGGTCACGGAAGGCTGGAGAGTTTCCTTCTTTTTTGTTTTCGTGCATTGGTGAGTGTCAGCAGGTGTTTTACACACTCGTGGTGAATAGAAGTGGCGCGCGAGGAAAAACAATTGATTCATCACCAGAGAACCGTCTCCATAAGTGCTCCCCACTCCTTCCCTTTGCTTGCTCAGCATATTGATTCAAGACAGTATAAACAGCCACCTGCTGTGAAAGCTCAAGACTGGTACAATTCCAACAAGCCAGAGATGGATCATTAGAAAGGCGGGGATGTGGAGGAGTGCGAGAGCTGCTGTGCGCTTAAATGTGAAGATTATAAGGCGGTGAAATGGGTCATCGACACACCACCTAAGTGTGTGTGATCTGGGTTGTAAGAAAGACATGGAAGTCAAGTGGGAGTGAAGCATCTGCCCTCATTTCCCCCTGTTTAATGGTGATGTATTGGGGAGAACTTCTCATGATGGCCTGTTTTTGTAAAATTTGAAAAATTAACTTACATTTAAAGCCCGGTTCTTAATAATAATAATAATAACTATACACTCCAAATAGCATGACAAAATGGGCCCGTGGACAGTGACACAGACATGTGGAAGGCCCCGCCCACATAAGCCAAGAAACCTACGACAATATGGCCGCGTCTCTTTGTGGTAAATTTGCATCCGTTAGTGATCATTTTGTGTCTCTTTGCAGTTCTGCATAATGTTGTTTTTGTTTTCCATCTGTTTGTGGCCCTTTTTACATTTCTTTATAGTTATTTGATTGACTTTACAACAAGAATAGACAGTTTAAAGTCACTTCATACAGATGTTCCGCCGGCTCATTCGTCCATCCTTGATAAAAAGCCAACTACCTGTCACCTTGTGACTCTGGTGGGAGCGGCAATGCGAGGGTCCTGGGCCACCGATGGATGCATGAAGAGAACTTGATCCAGCGTTGGAGGTGAGGGCCGTTCATTACTCGAATCGATCGCACTGCTTCCGCATCAAGGGGCCCATAGAGCACGCACACTGGCAGCGGCTTAGTCTTGGGCTCGTTCACATGAACGGAACAAGGAAAATAACTCTGGGTGTAAAACTTTTACGACCTGATGATTTAAATAAGGGCTAGTCCAGTATTTGAACTGGGAAGTTGATTGACCTAAAACAATTTAAATGACAGTCTCTTTGCCGATGTAAGTCTATGAGGAAAAGTATTTTTGGGCCACATGGCATCACATGAAAAAAAAAACAGAAGTTGTAATTTTACATTTTTGGCCCTTACATTAAAACTGACTTGAGAGCCGGGTGCAGTTCTTGGGGACTCGGGGGGCCTCACCCGGCCACCTCTGTCCCCGCCCATGATTCCAGATCAAATAAGAGCGGCAGTGATGAAACACAGCGGTTTGATGCAAAAAGACTCACAAGAAAGTGTTGTAGACCCCACATTAAGGTGCCTCAGTGTATGCTATTCTGGCCTCAACCAAAATCCAGACACGGGATGCAATAAAGGGAACAGACGGTCATCACAGTCACCATCAGCTCATTTCATGCCGTCGCCAGAGACGAAGCAATCACACCTGACGGCTCCTGGACAACAGGCCTTTTGAGACGAGCCTTGCTTTTTTTGCCACGGCAAAAAAAAACAGTAATTGCCCTCCTTGTCAAGCTGTGTCATTAAGTCAGGTGAAGTGAAACATGCCATCAGGTTGAAGCGATAGGATACACGAGGGGGGGCAGGCTGCTCGGCCGGCAGAGACCTGTGCTGAATGTCAAATGATTCAGCTGTTTACAAAGTGGAGGGATGGTTGAGAGCAGCCTTGTGTGTGCGTGTGCGTGCATGTGTGTGTGTGGTGACTTGGTCAGGTTGGTTATATGGAAATGCTGGCAAATCAATGTCACATGGAAAAATACCCCGCAACAGATGATATGAACAGAAATTACCTTACATTAACATTAATGATCAAGATATAACCAAAAATGTGTTACCACGAGCATGTACTGTGGATGTTGTAGAACAGTTTCATAATCCTGGCTCAGTCTGTATTTCAGGAGCAGTTATGATCACTATTTCTATGTTAACAATGGATCAAAGATCTTTATGTGAAAGGGGTCGCTCTTAAAAACCCTCGGAGAATTACCGCCAGACTTTCAGCTCGGCGTTTTGGTTTTTCGGGCTCACAACTGATTTCCAGGCAGCTGTTTTCAGCTTGAACATGGTGAACATGGTGTAACAATGACTACGGTGAATGTTTCAATGGCAGCAAACTTTGTGAATGTCAGAAATATTAAAGCAAATTCAATTCATAAAATGCAGAAAACATTTTAATAAAATGTAACACAGTACAAATCAAGAGTCAACTTAGCTCTCCACACGCAAACACAGTTGAAGTCATCCAGATCGTTCGCATGTGAAGAGGATCACACTAAATAACACTTTTTCTTTTCAAAAAACTAGAACAAAAAGTAGGGTTTTATACAGAGGACTTTTAAACATTTTTTTTGGGACAAACCATCAAAAAAGGCATCGTTTGAAAATGACTTCCTGTTAACAGAAACCGACTTCTTTATTCGAGGGATTCATGATAATCATCCGAACCTGCAGCAGCTACACATCTTTGCATCTCTCTGTGTTACACGCCGGCAGCGAGACGCTTTGAAAGGCTCGGAGACTTCTTCAACATGAGGCTGTCGAAGAAAAATAACTTAATGATAAATGTAAAGAGGACAGAACGGTGTGGAAAAGTCTTTTATGACCACTGGCTGCCTTCTCACACGAGCCACATAGTGACAAACAATGCTGGAGAAACAGCCAGTTACCAGTCGTGCTGTATTATCATCTGGTTTCTGTGGGGAAACAGATACAATCTGGTGAGATATTCTTGGCCACGGGCGTGTATGTTTGTGTAATGGGGGGTAGTGAATATGATGAAGAATAAGAGGCCACATGTGAGATGCAGCAAATAGGGAAACAGTGGATGGATGGATAAATGAACAGATGGGGGTTGGGTAATATTTCACGCAGCCGACCGTCGACGGATGACAAACGCTCCCCTCTGCAGCTGTCCCAGGTAGATCCTCATCTTTGTACTGTCGCTCGTCTTCCTCACCCAAATCTGCAGAACAAAGATCAGACATTTAGGAACAAATGTATTCCAAAGTAGCCGTCAATACAAACCACATCCAATACATTTTAATCTGAATGCTCCCTGGTAAGATGAACTTTCCTTTCCTAGTGATCACTCCTCCTTAGTGATAGTCTTTTGTTGGTTATTGAGGGAAATTAGCATTTGTAACTCATCAAACACTGGGAGAATAAATCTGTGGCTGGCATCTCTTCCCCTTCCAACCAGCCAACATCTAAAGCTAGGGTTGGTACTCTGGAGAAACTAGCAAGAGTGCGCTACATTTGTGAAAGTATCCAACCGAAAAAAAATCTTTTCAAATGAAAGTAGCTCGTAGCATTAGCTCCAAAAGTCTCCCAACACTGACAAAGCCACTCCCCCCACATGATCATAATGAACGTAAACAACAAACATGGCAATCGTTAGCACTCACAGCTGTCCGACTAGCAGTTTGTGGAAGATTTAAGGGATGTGTAACGTGCAAACGGGAAGAACGCACGCAGGCAGGCATGAAAAAATAATACATTTATTTGAAGATCGCTAACCGTAGTTTAAGATCGCCGGTCTTCTGTAAAATTCCCATTGAATATAACTGACAAAGACAAATAAAACTCAAACAGGAGGAACTAATTATTCCACTGTGGATTGATGCACATTTGGCATCCTGGTGAGTATTTACAGCAGCAAGAAGGTGTTTGTGGGATTGACTCAAAATAAAGTTGTGTGAGTGTTCACGGTAATGAAGGAAGGTGTCACACAGCGCTACAGTGTGGCTCATTAATGGCACAGATGAATAAAATACATCAAGCTTCGGCTACACAGACAACACTTAGAGGGATTTGTTGACAATATAGAGTTTCCCCCGCCTCATGTTTAATGCAGTAAAGCCAGTTATATGTGCAACAGGAGTCAAATGAAGTAAAACTCACCTCATTGGTGCCCACTGAGCTAATGACACAGCTAATCTTTGTGTTGTCCTTTGACTCCAGATAGATGGCCTGGCTCTTGTGGTACCTGAACACAAAACAAAGAGAGACAGGAGAGGGGTTCATTACACATCATTTTAGCCAGCTGAATAAACCACATTCCTCCTGAGGTGGCACTAAATAGATAATTGGACTGGAAAGTCAAAACAAAAAGGTCTGTTTTTTTTTTTTTTTTTTAAATGGCTCCAAACTGTCAAGAGGACAGCACCAACCCAGGGGAAGAGACTGAAGACCAACGCGTTTGATCATTAAGGGCCCACTGAAGAATAATGACGCATGCGTCTCCCTGCAGTTCTCTCTGAAGGCTTTCCGGTGGCGTCGTCTTCTTCTTCTTCTTCTTCTTTAGCGAAGAATAAATGAGACTTTGCCTTGACAGAAAAGCGCACGTACTTCACAGCTCGCTCCTCTCAACTTCCTCCGTCTGTAAGAGCAGCTAATAAGACCGCATGCTATTATTGTTACCCTTCTTCACGCGACCTTCTGTTCTGACACGTGTCTAACGCAGAGCTCTGCTCTCAAACAAAAAAGGTCACCGGAGCGGCGTCTGGTCAAGGATTTCCATTCTCTTCATCTCTGCATCGCAGCAGAGCCGACTCTAAGGCAGCCACCCTCTCTGAATATGTATATTTTTATGGTGGCTTCAAGCACCAGCGCGTATGAAGAAATATCTCTTTCTGTAGCTTAGAACAAAAGCAGGCTGCCATCAAAGTGTTGTATTTTGAAGACCAAGCAAACACCAAAAAGGCAGCAACCACGTGGCAATGTGGCCATCTAGTGGTGGCACGAGCTGCAGTCGAGCTGTGTGGGGAAACAGCGTGATGGGATGTCAGTTCTGAGAATGAAACTACGAACTCACCATCTCTTGTCGTAGTAGAGCTTACCCTCCTCGATGCGGGCCTCGTAGCGCTGGGAGGGGCTCTCCATGGGAGCGGGGGGGATGCGCTCTGGAGACGAGGGCGACACTGGAGAGGGAGAAACGCCTGAGCATCGCCATGCAACACACGCACGTACAAGTTTAATGGTTGATGGTAGTTTTAGGACATTTTGGAAAATATTGTAAGCTTATTTGATTTCTTGCTGAGACGAGAAGATCGATACCACTTTCCTTTCTGTCCATTTTAATATGAAGTTACAAGCAGCAGCCGGTTAGCTTAGCTTAGCATAAAGACTGGAACCAGGTGGGGCTGCCCCTCTTAGTCAATTAGTCGACTTATCTGTCGCTTTGATCTTCGTCGAATAAGGTCTTTTTTTAAATGCTTACTTCCAAAATAATTGAGGAACTGAAGATTTAAAGCGGTGCTTTTGAAAGCCGTGGAAAGTCACTGCGAGTTGAAAAACGTCATGTTGACTGTGTTATGGGGGAATATGAGAACTGTTTCTTGGCTGGGAGACTTTCTGAAGTCTCTGGTGACCAAACCAATATTCCAGTCTTCGTGCTAAGCTAAGCTAACCAACAGCTGGCGAACAGACATCGGAGTGCTGACGACTTTCTCATGGAACTCAGCAGAAACAGTAACGAACGACCATTCATGTCCTGAACTACAGATCTCATTGTGCATTTCAAGTGGAAATTAAGCTGACGGTGAGCGTTGACATACCTGGTCGCTTTGGTGATTTAAGCTGTAAAAGAGAGGGGGTGAACATTTTAGAAGACATAATTGGAAAAGAATACTAATCAGCGGGGACATGCATAATATCAAGACATTCGGCAACACTTACCTTATTAAGTGTTCTTAAATCTTCCATTATCTGGTCGTCCGATAACAAATAATTTAGCTGAGGTGTGAAGAGTTAAGGAAGCATTTTTAAACAACGTAGCTGAGAAATGTAGCCGAGCCTCTGATCTACCCTGGACTGGAACTAAATATCTCCCATCTTGAGAAAATACAGATGCTACCAGTACAAGTACTACTGAACACGTTGACCCTCACAGGTTCATCTAAAGTGTATGTGAAGGATATCTGGTGCAGGTTTTCTCCGTTTGTCTGGTATCGGGACCGGATCGTTGGGCCGTCTCCTCAGCTTCCGAGTCATGATCGGTTTTACCTCCATGGAGTCTGTGTATGAGCAAATAATGACAAACTGAGATCCAACAATAACACACAGATAGTGTCAAACATTCTCAAAAAGATCAACCTTTGGAGTTTATGAAAAGCAAACATCCCGCACAGACAATTCAAAAGGACCGACATCTTAAATGACTGCATAATGTCTTACCGCCCGTTAGCTCCATTGTTAATTTCTCGTTCTCGATCATCTTCTTCTTCTCCTCCAACTCTGCAATTAGGTTTTCCTTCAGTTCAACCTTTTTATCGTCAAACTCCTTCACCGCTGCCTTCTTCTCCTTGATGTAGTTCCTCTCCACCTGCTCCGTCTGCAGCACGATGAGAGAAGGAAATGATGTTTCGTTTGTAAAAAGTTAACTCTGCAGAAACTGCATCAGCAGGAAGAACTACACTCACCTCAAGTTGGAGAAACAGATCTGTAAAGAGGAAGAAAGAAATATCTTTAAACAAACAAAGTAATATTGACTGAGAGCACAGAATTCTGGCACACACAGGAAGCAAAGAAGCCAATGAGTCAACAACAATAAGGTAACCAATATAATTAAAACAGTGAAATGGTAGACGAGGGATGGGTTGGGAGCAGAGAGAACAAAATGTGATCTGTAAGTTTACTAAATGATGTCTGGGTAGACGCTGTGCTACTTCATTAATATTGCATGTTGTGTTTAGTCACATTATTTGTTTTATTTCCCTTTACTGCAAATACAAAATAAACAACTTCTATCCTCACTGTCTGGTTCAACCCGACAGTGTGAGACGCTCACAACGATGTAAATTATGAACCCTATCTATGAAAATATTTATTCAAACAAGATGGTTTCACGCACAAAAAAAAAAAAAAGGGGG